AGGTGGCATAAAACTCATGGGAGACTCTCATAGCAAAGATGCTGCAGCTGAAGTTTGGTTGACAATTGTTGTATTACATTTTTGCAGGTTGCTTGATCCTGACTCCTTTTGAATGGCATTTCTGGAAGGAAAAATATAAATATTTTCATGTGCTAAGTTCAACAGAGATTAAGGGAAGCAATCCTCTGGATCCACATCCCAGAAATGCTCCTCAGGAGAGTCAGGGCAATTTGCTGGTGTCAGGTTGGGTTGTGCTGTCAGCAGGGTCTGACACAGCAAAGCCAGGCCTGCCCAGGAGAGGTCCAGGGCCTTGCCCAGGATGAGAGCTCCTTGGTGGCTCTGTTCCTGTGGGGATCCTATTCCAGGAGCTGTGTTCCTGCATGGTGCCTGTGCAGTGCCCAGGCATGGGCAGCGGGGCAATAACCTCATGCCAAACCCTCTGCAGCTGGTTTGGAGTTTGCTGTGGTGCCTGCCAGCGCTGCCCTCTGGCTCTTTGCTCCCCTGTTTTCCCCAGCTGAGTTACTGGGGAGCTGCACAGAGCTTTCTCCAGGTGCCCCCACGAGCAGATTTATTCACTCCCAGCTGGAATGAGCTTCATCTCCAGGTGGGAGTTTTGGGCTGCAGCAGCTGCCAGGGAGGGGATCCTGGCTTTGCACAGCAGAGTGACACAGCTCTAAACCCCTGGGCTGGAAGGGACGGTGAGAGCCAGCACTTCCTCCCCTAAAGCATTCAAAAGCAGCTTTAAATCGGATTAGGATTTAACAATCACTTCATGGTTTACTCACTGCAGGGAGGATCAAAGCCCGGGGAGGACTCTTCAGCTGTTTGCTTTTCCTTTATGTAGAAACTTCACTATGGCTGCCCTTAAACCCCCACTAAATACAATAAAACAACTCAGAAAAGCAAATTACTTAACCACAGCCTAAAATAAGGTGTTCATTATCTGGTGACACTTTTTTTTCTCTGTTTGCTGTTTTACTAAGCTCCCATTCTGAGGCAGGGCAGGGAGCAGGTCTGCATTCCCAGCTCCAGCTGGACTGATCCTGGGAGATCCCAAAGCTGGAATATGGATTTCCCTTGCTGTGCTGTGTCACCACAGTGCCTGGGCAAAAAAGGTTGAGCATTTACTCCATGGAGTAAAGGTGTGGTGTCTCAGGGAGCAGGGACTGCTGCAGTGCTGCACAGATGCTGTAGGGAATTTTCCTTGCAATTTGGTGGAAATGTTTTTAAAATCCAAGAGGTCTGTGTGCATTTTCCTGCTCAAGATGACCAGAGGTTTATCCTGCTGGGAGAGGCTCCCAGACCTAAGCACCAAGGTTTAAAAAAATAGTGGTAAAGGGAGAGGGGAAAATAATTTTGTGTCTGAAACAGAGCGCGTGTCTGTCCCTCTGGCTTCTTCCTATTGTTGTAATACAGATTTAGCTGAAAGTGGCCCAGCTGTACAAGTGGCACTTGGGGACTTTGTTTAGTGATGGTTTAATGGTTGAACTCAATCTTGGAGGCTTTTCCCAACCCAAAGGGTTCCTGATCCTGGGGTGCTGAGCCAGGGATGCCCATGATTTATCTGGAGGCCAATGCCTCCTTTCCCCTCCCCATGTAATGTGGTTTAGCTCAGAAAGGGAACTAAATGCAGAATGAGGATTAAACTGTGTAAGCCTGATGGATGTTTTGTAGGTGATGCTTTGCAGAAAATCATTACTTTGAAATGTTGGAATAGAAAAGAACATTTTTCAGGCTTTTCAGACATAACATGTTTTGGAGAAGAAGCTTGGAACAGATGTACCCATAGTTTATTCCATTTATCATATTAAAAATAAAGAAAAGACAATTTCAGCTCATTTACTGCTTTATTAGTTCAAACAAACAGCTTTTCTAATCAATGTGTATGGCAAGCACAATGCTTTCATAATTGGCAGTGGTGGCTCCAAAATGAATGGTTCTGTCCTTGTTTGTGGTCTGTAACAAGTCACAGTTAATACATTGGTCTAATCCAGCCTTATCTCATCTTCATTTCTGCACAGGAAAAATTATAACCTTATTTTTAAATTTTAAAACAGTGGAGGGTTGGTTTTTTGCCCCATCCTTTTGAGAAAGTGCAGTTGGAAATGAGGAGAGCTGCACAGGGAGCAGTCCCAAGGAGAAGGGCTCAGCTGTGTCTAGGGGACTCTTTTGCTCTTATTTATCTGGAGGTATTTATTGATTTTACCTTCCTTTGCAAAAATACTGATTTAATTTATGAGGTGATAGAAGAGGCTGGGAGAATAATTTTACTTATAAGAGAGCAGAATTGTCCAACTAATTGCCCAGGAAAAAGATAAAAGATCTGCTGATCTACCCCTGCAGATGTTTCTCATCTGGAATACAGACCAATTCCAGACATTTATTTTTTTGATTACTGTTTATTTTGATGCTTTATTACACGGTCATTGCCAGGAAGGAAATGGTGCTCAGAAATCCAGCAAGATGTTTTTTCTACTTTGGTACTATTTATTCAGTAACAATTTGGGGTTTAACCCCTTTCTCCCCCTTTTCTTTGCCTGACTGTGAGCTCTCACTTCCATCCTTCACTGGGAACAGCAAAACTTGCTGGTTTTGGGCCCATCCTGGATGGTTTTAAACTTACTGAAATTTCATAGAGACATTAATGCTCATTTCCAGATTGTAACTAATAAGGACCTGTTGGCTTTTTTTGCCACCTAGTGCTTCTGTCCCTGCATTACTGTGGAGGGTTGTGTGTGTGAGGAGAGAGGAGCCCTGTGCTGCTCAGCCAAACGCCCTCCTGATTTGTCAGAGGAGTTTCCTTGCACCAGTGGAACAAACTCCAGCCTTCCTTGGCTTGCTTGAGAGCCACCAAAGGCTGTGGAAATCCTTCTGTGTGCTGAGTGGGAGAAAACAGGGAGCACCTCCTGCTCCTGCTCTGGCTTTAAACCTGCTGATGCTTAAAGCAGCAGGCAGATCTGGTCTCTCTTTAAACCTGCTGATGTTCCTCCTGGCAGATGCTGGGCTTGCTGATGCTTTGTGAGTTTGATGGGATGGTGCACGTTCCCCTGTGGACAGAGCCTCAGAGCTGATGGCTGGGCACACAGAGCACCTCTGTGCTCCGGGCTGGCAGCAGTGATGCTCCAACACCCCTAAGCTGCGCTTCCATGTGATTAAAAATGGCTGGAAAATCAAATATATGCAAAGCCAACAATCCCATGACACTTTATTTCTTCACATTTCTCCCGTAGCTGTTTGTGTGCCAAATCTGCCTCGGGCACTTGCACTTACACCCACAGGTACATGTGATTTGCAATGTAAGGTGATGCTGTGCAGTACAGCTGGAAATGGGCTAACCCTGGGTCCAAACTGGGTGTTTGCAAGAGCCCCAGCTGTGTTTGGGGCTGTGCTCATGCTGAGGGATGTGCAGCCCCCCTTTCCCTGTGCAGGCTCTGCCCTGAGCAAACCCCAGAGCACAATGGAGCCGTTCTGCTCCAAACGGGAGCAGGAAGGTGGGCGGATTAGGAAATATTTTATGTTGGGGGTTTTCTTTCCACTGAGCCATGTCACATTCATGTCCCACCATTGCTTTATGGCCACGTGCCTGTCCCACTCTGTGAGGGGCAGATCTGCTGCTGTCCATGTGTCCATCTGTCCATGTGTCTGTGTGTCTGTCCGTGTGTCCAGGGCAGGCTCTGCTCATGCTTGCACTCACCAGGGGCAGTGCCTGGCAAGGCTCTGCAGTGCCCATGGCTGTGGGATACAGCAGCACTGACAGGCTCCTGCACTGGGTGATATATTGCCCTTTGGTTCCTGGTGATGGCATCCAGACCTCCCAACCTTTCATAATCCACAGATGGAAAAGTGGCACTTAAAATGAATTTATTCAGGTGGGAGCGCTGTAAAACATGAAAATAAGGCTTTTGACTTGCTGCACCTACACTTGAGTGTCAATGAAAAGCTTTTTATTTGCTTTTAGAGCCAGACTTGCAGAAGTCAATGTGCCTTGTGGTCTGGCCCTGTGTGTTACGGGAGCCAGACTGGAGCAGGGCATGGGCAGCAAGGCAGGGATTGGGAGCAAAGCTGCCCAGTGAGAGACCAGCAAGCCTTTGAGCATCACAGAGGGCAGAGTTTGCCTGGGGAAGGCTGAAACTGGGACGGGAGAGATGAGCGAGACAAAACACCAAATGAGATTCCTTTGGGATCAATAAGTCAGTCTTTATTTGCATGCCATGGTTTCTGTCCCTGCTTTGCACAGTGGGATCTCCGGGTGCTCCCTGGCTGCTGCCTCCCTGCTGGGCACACAGGAGCATCTCCTGCCAGCTGTGTTGAGCCCCAGGGGCTGTGGGAGGAGAGCAGGGAGAGGGAATGGTGCTGGAGGAGCAGCAGCGAGCAGGCGCCGCTGGCCTTTGCCCATTATTTGATTTGCCACTGTCCTCAAACACAAGGTCATTTACAGCCTGCTGGGGCTGCCAGAGCAGGAAGTTACCTTGCGAAGGAAGGAACCAGCCCATGCTGTCTAAATATTGTCAATTGTGTGCTGAATGGAGGCCACAGCCTGAGGAACCTCAATGGTAGCTCTTTGTGTCCCCGGCTGCCTCCTGCCAAAGTGCTTTCCATAATTAGGAGTAAAACATATTTACATTCCTGCCGTGCTCGGGGCCGGCACACACCTGTACGTGTGTGGGTGTTCATGTATGGGGTGCAAGCATTTATATTCCTGAGTTTTGCAGTGAGTGTTCCTGCCTGGAGTCGTGGGAATGGTGCAGCAACCGATGGAGGTGACTGGGGTGTGTGGGACAGTCAGGGGTTGTAGTGGTGAGAGGAGAAGAAATCCAATGGATTCCCCCTCTGCCAAGCAGGAGCATAATCCCCATATAGAGAGATACTGTATTTGTCTGAATCGGGAGGTCTGGGCTGAATGCTCCCTTTTAAAATTCATTGACGTTTGCATGGAAACCAGAAAAATGGGCTTAAGTCAAGAATGCAATAACCTCACTCAGAACTGCTCTCCATGGCAGGCACTCATCCGCTTCCAGCCGTTCTGCTCGCGGGAAGATAAATGGAGGGGAGGAATCCTGGGCATGGCTGCACGGGAGCGGGCTCGCAGCGCGCTGGGTGATGCACAACAGCTTCTCCAGGCACGTTTCTCCCCCTCCCTCCACGGTAAATCGCAGCCAGACATTGATTAGTTCAGTTTGGGGGGAAAAGGAGCCGTGCAGGACAACTGGAGACTGGAGCAGAGATTGCTGAGCCCAGGCCAAGGCAGAGCGGGGCGGTCACGTGGAGCTGGCGCCGCGCCTGCTTCCAGCTGCTGGGGTTCATTAGGAGACAGCCAAAACACATTAATTAGTCTTATAACATAACTCTCCTGTGCAGGCACTGCTATGGCTTCCACAGGGGCAGAGGAGATGGTCTGTGCATGGTGAGAGTGATGGAACCTGTGTGTCCCCTGCCTGAGGCTTCCAGGGGTCCCCTGGGTGGTGGGACCATGCTGGGGACACCAGGAGAGGAGGCAGCCTGCTTAAGGTTTGGGCTTTCCCAAAGTTCAGTGTGCCTTCAGGTCCAAGGCTGTTCTTGGGAGCAAAGCTGCCCAGTGAAAGACCAGCAAGCCTTTGAGCATCTTAGAGGGCAGAGTTTGCCTGGGGAAGGCTGAAAATGGGAGAGATGAGCGAGACAAAGATGAGCGAGGCTGTAGCCAGGTGGGGATTGGTGTCCTCTCCCGAGAACAGGTGACAAGACAAAAAGAAGTGGCCTCAAGTTGCACGAGGGGAGGTTTGGGTTGGATATTGGGGAAAATTTCTTCCTTGAAAGAGTGGAGTGCCCATCCCCAGAGGAATTGAACAGCTATGTGCATGTGACACTTGGGGACATGGGTTAGAGGTGGCATTGGTGGTGCTGGGGAACACTTGGACTCCATGATCTTAGAGGGCTTTTCCAACCTGAATAATTCAGTGATTTTTTTCTATGGTTTTATTTCTATACGAAGTCTCCTCTGACAGACGTCCCCAGCAGTGATTTCAGACAAACACCCTAAAGTGGCTACACCAGTGTTCCTCCTGCAGGGCAGTCAGAAGAGACACCCACAAATGTACCCAGGTAATCCCTGCCCCTGCTGCAAAACCACATGTAAAAATTCTGCAGAAATCCAAGGAAAAAGTTGTGCTCAGTCTAAACAGGAGTTCACCTTTTCTCCAGAAGCTTTCTGAGCTTTCAGGCACTTAATGGAAACACCAGTGCTCACACTTGGAGGGCAGGCTGGAAAGTTTGCGTGGGCCTGTGCGTGTGCCAGGGAGTCAATTTTTGTCCGTCAGAAACCTCTTTCCATTCTGCTTTTGTCAGACTTTGCCTCCGTAAAGGGAAATTTGGACTTTCCATGTCAAAGCCCTCTGCAAATGTTACCCAAGGCCTCTCATCAGTGCTGCAGTTTGTACAGGAACAGCTCCCAGTGCTTGCCCAGGAGCGGGGAAGGCAGCTCTAACACTCCTGCCCTTTGAGGGAAATGTCTGTTATTTGGGATTTTTCATTCTTTCCTCCCTCAGCGCTCAGCATTTCGGATGCAGGCTCATGCTCCTGCTCTCTTTAACAGCCTGTTTTTCCTCTAACCACTTCCAGCTCCAAAACCTCTCCACATCTCCTCAATGTAAATACACTTCTCTTGCCCAGAGCAGCCTGGGGAGACAGTGGTGACCTTCAGCTGAGAGCAGAGCATTTCAGTTTGACCTACTTTGCTGCAGAGTGGGTTTGGCTGTGTCAGGGCTGCTCTCTGCTCCCTGGAAGGTCCTTGGGGAGATGTCCATGTGAGTGGGACAGCAGGGCTCAAGGAGATGCAAACTCCAGGCCCTGAGTTCAGGTGATGTTTGGGTAGCTGGGTGCTGGGTTTCTCCCTAGTGCCAGCTTTTATATTTGCAGCTTTATATGTTTGATTGTGCCTTTAAAACGTCTGCCACAGGTGAGTAACACAAAATGCCCATCGCAAAATACTCATTTTCCATTCACTGCTTCATTTTCCCCCTTTGCTTGCTTTCCTCAAGGCTGGTTGTGTGCAGGGAGCAGCTGCTGGAGGAGCCAGGCTGCTGTGGCTCTTCCCAGGGCTCCTTGGCTGCACCAAGGAAAGCCCTGGTGGCTTTGTCAGGTCTCCCTTGTCCTCTGTGAGAAATTCTGGGCAATGCCAGTGCAGCTGTGGCTGTGCCTGGGTGGCACAGGGTGCCCAGAGGAGCTGTGGCTGCCCCATCCCTGGCAGTGTCCAAGGCCAGGCTGGAGTAACCTGGGCCGGTGGAAGGTGTCCCTGCACACCAGGGTTACTCAGCTCTTGAGATTTTGCCTTTTTCTGCAGTACTGGTTTCTCAGGAGGGCTGTGGGGTGGCCCCTCTGGAAGGACAATTGTCTTTTGTTAAGGGACATGTGTCTTTAAAACCAAGTTCTCTCCTTATCTCAAGCTTAAAGTGCAAAATTCCCAGGTTGGAAGCAAGTTAAAATTTCCTGTTCCAGCTGCATCTGCATTCAGTCTTGGAAGCAGATACTTGGCTGTAATTCCAAAAAAGAAAAAGAAAAAAGAATATGAATGATATTGCAGGTAAGAAGGAGCAGCTGAGGAAAAGATCATTTCAGAAGCACTTCAAGCAGTTTTCAGGATAATTTTCACTTATTTCTGAATAATTCCTACCACTGGTCACCCAATAAAAATAACAAACCCAAAGTCAGCCCCATGTCCCTGCTGATAAACACCGTGGACTTGCTCACAGCTTATCTAATGCCTGAACATCTGTTTCTCCCTAGCTGAGAGGTTCCCTTGGATGAGTTCATGCAACTCCCTGTGCAAAGGTTAAACAAAGTTGAGAGGCTCCAAGCAGTGGCTCTGTGCCACGGGGCCTGTGCTGCACAAACTGCTTCAGTGTGAAATGTCCCATAGAGCTCAGGAGGGGAAAAGAGTCACCCAGCCCAAGGCTGGGCTGCAGCAGGGCTGGGCTCAGTGCTCTGAGAGGGCTTTTCCAGCCTCAGTGGGATTCTGAGGGTACTGAGCTTTCTAGATACTCCAGCATGGAAAGGGTGTGTGGGGTGGGCACTCTCCCTGGCTCTGAGGAGATGGGACTGAGCTCTGCACCTGCATCCTCCTGCCTGGGCCATGGCA